GTGGGGCATAGGCTGCCACAGAATTCAGGATCCTTTGGCCCCACTAGTCTTTTGGCCCTTGGCCATCAGTGACAAGCATGGCCCATTACATTTTCTTAAAAGCAAGCCCCAAACTCTGGTCACATGGTCAGCTTTATGGCTGCTTCAAAATAAGATATTTGGCAAATTTCTGCTGTACCTGCTGCTTCTCCCCCCCCAGAAGACAAGAGTTCTTAGCAAGCTACACTGGTCAAATAAAAACAGATATTAGTATTATTAGTTACAATAACTGTAGAATAGTAATGTTGTCAAGGCAGATGCTATCAATGTTGTTATCTGACTCCTTTACAGTTGTTAATGGGTTAGGTGACACCAGTCACGTCAGGTTCCCTCAGTTTGGCTGGCCTGTGCGTGCACTCGTGTGCTGTTGGAATACCATCCATGATGCTGGGCTCTTAACAACCACACTGTTAGAAGGAAACTGCAGACTTCAGTTTTTGGTGACAAAGAATTTGGCCAGATTTACAGTCCACAAACAAGCTGGTACACGGTGCTAGCTGGCTCAGTTGCAAATCTAGCATGGACGTGAACATAACCCCTAAGCCAGACACAAAGCATGAAGAGTTTGAGGACCCTTTTTTAAACAACAATCAAAACTTTGCATTTACAGCAGACACATCCTAGTTCTCACAGATTACTAAAACACCTTTAGCTGACATCATCCACATTGTAATACTTACCAGTTAGTGAGCCCTTGCCACCAGACAGTGACACCTGTTTGCCAGGTCACTCTGATCTTTGTTTTGGTGTCCTGTGATGGTCTTAATTTACTCTTTGTTGACTTTGGAGCCTTTCTGTTGACCTTCTAAGACTAATGAGCTACTTTCCAAGCATTTCTGTGCACCTGTATATAGTATGCTGAGTTTCATATTCACTGGGGCCATTCATTCATCAGTTCATATTATCTGGGACTCTGTATGATTTGCATATGTATCGATCAATTGTTGTATTAATCCATATTCCAACAAATAACACGTTTCTAGTAGCTTATTGTACTTTTCCTAACTTTTAGGATAACATGGATCTGATTCTAACTCTTTGGATTCTGATCCTGAAAAAATACTGCACTGACTGTGAGAGGGAAACAAAAGGTGGTCTGCAGAATTTTCAAAACAGAAGCTGCAATCTTTATGCAAATTTATTGTTGTGAAAATAGATATTTAGCAACAGCAGGCAGACAAATCAAATTGGCTGGGTGGAAACAGTAGCTATGGACAGAAGCAGAGAAAGGTACTGAAACTGCTAGCTGGGGGGCAGGACTCAAAAGCAAAAAGCAGCATCAGGCATGATCCACACACAGTCACACCACTAACATTTAATCTTCAGTTAAACTAGCATAACTGCTGTGTTGAGACAAGCTCTAACAGACATTCACACCACCTGCATCACAGCCAGGAGTCTTGGAACACAAGAAGGGAACAAGGCCTAAGGATAATTCTACTGAGAATCTCAGAGCATTCTCTTTCATAGCAGCCATGAGACTGAATGCGACTTGGGCACTGCCCCAAATAGTGTTCCATATCTGCTTGGGGCTACCAGGTCTCTACAGCAACAATTTCCAAACCCAGTTTGTTCCTGTATGATTGAGAAGGTGGACATTAGAGAAGAAGTGATAAATTGGAGAAGAAAAATATACTGTAGAGAAACAGTGAGGAGAAGAAGTGAGAGAGAGGAAAGGAAAGAAGGTAGAGGGCCCAGAAAGGGAA